TTGGACTTTGAATTGGAGACAGAACACATCCCTGACGGCTTTCTTCGCGAAGATCTCAAGGTAAGCATACTGGTTAAACAAATAAGTAAGTTATATATATATATTATATAGCAAAGAAAAAATTCGGAAGTTATACCTTTTTTTGGTCAAAAAGCGAAGTGAAGTGATTTGCTCTAAATTACTTCTTTAATGTGTATAACATTGTTCAAAAAGTGTGACTTTTCCGCTTTTGTTTCCTGGGATAAACTGACCGTAATTATCAACTTTGGAAAGGATGTTATAATTCAATTCAAAAAGTGTGACTTTTCTGCTTTTGTTTGTCGCTTTTGTTTCCCAAGATAAACTAACCGTGATTAGCAACTTCGGAAAATATGTTATAAAATTTGTAAATAACACTCACCGGTGTGTGTTTAGTTAATTAAAGTAAGGGGCTAACGAACGATTTTTGTGTTTCAGATCCGTGGACGCCGTCATTTGGTCTTTGCATCAGACAGACAGATGGAAGTGTTGAGCAAGTCAAAAACCTGGTATATCGATGGCACCTTTAAACTCTGCCGTCAGCCGTTCTCGCAGTTGCTCACCGTCAATGCCTTTGTGCGAAACGACGACCACGTGAAGCAAGTACCCCTTGTCTTCGTTGTTATGTCTGGGAGGAAGAAGCGCGACTACAAAGCCGTCCTGGAGACAGTGATTTCCCTCCTGCCGAACCAGTCACGCGTTATCAAGATAGTTCTTGACTTCGAAAAGGCGATGTGGAGCGCCATCCGCCAGGTGATCCCAAATGTGGAGTTGATGGGCTGTTCCTTCCACTGGACGCAAGCCTTATGGAGGAAGGTTAGTGTGATAATAAGTTTTATAAGTATGATAGGTTTGAAAAAAAAAGCCAAATCAAAAATACAAAATCATACAAACATAATATTTTGAAAAATCAAATAAACAAAACGTCAGTACAATAACACGACTTAAACATGAATTAACCTTTTTTCATTTTCTTCTAGGTACAAGAGCTCGGCCTTCAGGAGGCATACAATAGAGACCGCGGCACGTACGAATACGTGAGAAAAATGATGGCTTTACCGTTCCTGCCAGCAGAAAAAATTGAAAGACGTTTCAATCACCTCCAGCGTCGAGCGACAACAGAGGCCTTGAAAACCTTTAGCCAATACGTCCATGACAACTGGATCATCAGCCGTACCTTCCCACCAGCAACTTGGAGCGTGTATATGGAAGCGGTTAGAACCAACAACGACCTGGAGGGGTGGCACAACGCCCTGAACAGACGAGCGAAGGGAAGAGCACAGTTGCCCCTCTACTTACTGATCCAGCTACTGCACAAGGAAGCAGCACTTGTCTCCCTACAAATCAGGCTCGTGTCCGACAGAAGACTGAGAAGACATCAGCGCAAGACTTACCGAAAGTATCAGAAGACACTCTTCAGCCTATGGAAAGCCTATGAAGACGGTCAGAAAAACTCAAAACAGCTGCTGGAGGCATGCTCTCATTTAGTTAATCCGTTGTAAGTCGTATTCGTAAGTTTAAGATTACAAGAATTTGTTTTTCATGGGTTCGAATTGCAGCCTAATTTACCTTAAGTTTAACATTAGACTTTGTTAAAGTAGATTCGAATCGCAAACTTATTTATCTTAAGTTTGACATTAGACTTTGTTTAAGTATATTCCAGTTGCGAACTTATTTGACTTAAGTTAATATAAGAATTTGTTTTTCAAGTTTGACATTAGAATTTTTTACAGTAGATTTCTGATATATTCTAATCGCGATCTCAATTAGCTTTAGTTAATAAAAGAATTTGAAATTGCTGAAACCGCAACCTAATTTAGCTTAGGTTTAACATTAGACTTTGTTGAAGTAGTTTCGAATCGCACACTTATTTAGAATTTTAGCTTAAGTTTGACTTTAGACTTTGTTTAAGTATATTCCAATCGCGAACTTACCTAGTTCTCTTTAGCTTTAATTAAGATAAGAATTTGTTTTTCAAGGGGCGGGAGTCACTCGGACAACCCACACGTCCCCGCCTGTAATTCGCTTTAGCTTTAGTTAAGAATTTGCTTTTCAAGGGGCGGGAGTCACTCGGACAACCCACACGTCCCCGGCTGTAATTCGCTTAGCAATAAACATGATTGTAAAGATATGCCGTTTACGTCATAACTACGCTTAGCAACCATGTGATGGTTTGTCAGCACGTGCTTTGGAACTTCCTTCAAAACAGAAAGGCAGGGTATATAAAACGAAAACAGTAAGAGTTGTAGAAATTATTCAGGGGTTTGTTGTTAGGATTACAGTCTTCTTAAAGTTCTAAACGCAAACTAGCCACTTAGAAAGGAACTGAAAACAGTTCATTTATTAAACGAGCGATTCGAAGATATTTTAAATCGGGTAATTGAAGTTCGTTTACACATTGGGGGCTAATCGTCTAGATAGTGGGGGCTAATTGTCTGTATACTGGGGGCTAGTTGTCGGGGGCGAATTGTCTGGGGGGCGAACTGTCTGTCATCGGTGCACATATGATAGTGATGCACAGTGCACATAATGAGAGGAAGCGGGAAACTATAGTAAAAATTTTACTAGAAAATTAAGGTACAAGTAAAAAAATAACACTCAGTCTGCACAGTCTGCAGTCTGCAGTCTGCATGGTCTGCGTTTCAACATGACCGTCCAGAGCTGTTCTCTTGTCCCTTCCAAGAAAGTTTCCTTAGGTACAGTTGTATTCCGGATTCCGAATTTCACTATTCCAGATTCCTCACTGTATACGTAGCTTACTAACAAATCCTCGACTTGCATTCAATTTCGAGATCAGTTTCTTACAATACATGCTAAAAGAAGTTAAAGATCTTACCCTAATTGTCTTGAAACCGTCAATTAAGAACTGGCGCTCCTTTTCCTCTTTCTAGACGCTTCTTTGGTCGAAAACTTTTCACACAGCTCGTCTACAGCTTAACGGTAAGTCTGTTGACGTCCTCTTCTTTCTCCGTTCTCTCGGCCACTTGCGCCCGAAAAACCTTGCTTCCCTTAATCGTGGCTTGTAATAACAAGAAGTAAAGGTCCGAAAAAGAGATTTCTTGGCCAAGATCGACCGCGGACATGGCAGCAAAACAACAAAAACTCGAAATTCCCGCCGCCTTCTTCGAAATGTGACAAAATATTTTCTCACACGAAAGAAACGTGGACTTTGAGGTCATGTGATCTTGTTCTTTTGTGTCACTCATGATGTCGAGGCTACGAGCCCGGTTACTAGGGAAACAGAAATGGTCTGTGCCATTGCGTTTTCTCTAGGATCTTTAGCTTCGCGGCAGAAATAAGAGAAGCCTCTGAATGCATTTTGCATGCCTTAAGTTTGTTTCAAAAACAACGACGATTACGACAGACCTCTAATAAGTCTTATCGTATTCAGAATCTGCTGAACTGAGATTACTGAGAAGTCAATTTCCGTTGTAATATTCACAGACACCGGTTTCTTGCCAAAGTTGTTGCTGGTAAGATAATCAAAATAAAGCTGAGGGAATTCTTGGCAGGAAATGTTTGGACCCAAATAAAACACGGCGGTCAACGGCCTGTTTACACGTTGCTGATAATGATAGTAAAATGAGTTGGAAAACGCACCATTGAATCGCGTTTGCCAGGTGCTAGGAAACGTGAAATGAACGGCATGTTTTCCTGGTGTTACCGCCGGTGAATGTTGAGTTTTCCTGGGAGTTTTCCTTGTGTTACCCGAAGTCGGAAAAGGATTTAGGAACGTGATATTTTCACGACATTAACCGTTTGGTAAAATTTCCGGTTAACGAGAGAAAACGAGCTGTTCAACCCCGTTTTCCATGTGCTGGATAATGTGACATGAACAGCCCGGGGCACCCAACGAGGATATAGTTCAAAACCACTTAACATAGCATTGTTGAACGTATTTTAGTATTCAAGCGGTAGATATAGGCATATTTTTATCCCCTAAAAACTTTTCATCTGTTCGGATTTCCTAGCTGAAAGTCTAGTGATCCGAAAATTATAGGGATAAAAACTTACCTTCTCGAAAATTTTAGCCAGGAAAAAGCTCTCGAAAATTCTAGGTGGCCTTTTTTAGGGTCAAAATCCGTTAAAAATGGGTAATTATACCATTTTGTAGATGTTCGAAAATCCTAGGAGAGGCAGGCAAGCAAGAAATTTTACAACAAATGCTCCGAAAATTCTAGATCTCAAATCGTCTTCCGAACAGATATTTTCCCGAAAATTGCCGTTGGGTGCCCCTGAACAGCATATTTTCCCTCTGTTAAGTGATGGTGAATGCCAAGTTGTCCTTGTCTTTTCCGAAGTTAGAAAACGAGTCACGAACGCGATATTTTCCTTACATTAGCCGTTTGGTAAAATGTCCGGTTAACGAGAGAAAGCGCACTGTTCAACCACGTTTTCCGTCTGCTGGAAAACGTGAAGTAAACAGCATATTTTCCTGGTGTTAACGGATTGTGAACGCCGAGTTTTCCTTGCGAATTCCGAAATGAGAAAACAGATCGTGAACGTGGCATTTTCAATACATTAACCGTTTGGTAAAATCACCAGAAAACAGGAGATTTTGTGCCGTGCTAGGAACCACTCGAACAAAGACAACCAAAATGTCGGAAAGCTTTTCCTTTAAATACTAGTTCAAAGCGGTCAGTAAGGTTGAAATTAATTCTGGTAACTCCAACTCCGTAATCAGGTCAAGACCTAGACTGGCCACAACTCGATTTCAAATCCTTGGGGATATGAATAAACGAAGAACCCGTGCAACAGTCAAAAGGGGCGCGCGGGCACCGAAGGACCCCTTCCCCTTCCCCAGATTCCCCTCTGGGTAATTAGCCTATGAACACTGAGGTCCCCAAACAGGTAGCAGGGGGGAGAAATGAATGCGTGACAAACGAACCACAAAGGACGTCTGCGGGGAGCCTGTTCACAGGCTACTGGGTAATAACCTTTCGGCCGGCCCGCGCCTAGTTATCAGGTCCCGCTCGTGAATTTCATTCTCAGAAGTGTGGAGAAGTGTGTATGTTGAAGATTATACTGTGATGAAAATATCAGGTTGTGTGGCGTTAGTGACAGGTGGAGCTTCAGGGATAGGACGTGGACTTTGTGACGTACTGCTGCAGCGTAACGCCAAGGTAAACTTATTTATTTCGTTGGATAACCGCGAGCGAATGAAGCAGGGCTACGTACGAACTTTTGGCGAAAGTTGCCTGAAGTCTCTGCTTCAAAGCGGGGCTAACTACGAAGCAATTGATTTGAAAATGATATTTTATTTATTTTTCCCATGCAAATGAAACTCATTTTCACAAGAAAGGTTTTGCATTTAGCAAATGGCCTATTCACCAATGCTATGTGGCAAAAGTCAATTATATGATATGGATATCCGATCTAGCTGGTAGTGATAGTGACTTGTACTGTTAAATGGCGAAATTACGGATTCCTTGTGTTTAAAGCTAAGACTTTCAGTCTTGTTAAAATCGGGCATTGCAAGTTCTAGCTCCCGTCCCTCCTCCCTGGGGGAACTGCCCTAAGTTTTGCATCAGAGTGCCCCCCCCCCCCCCCCCATGATAACAAGCTGGCTCTTGCAAAACTGGCATCAAGTAGTAGCATGGTTCTCAAATAAAGAAAACAGCCTTACCCAGGGGCATACCAAGCCTTTTTGCATTCTGAATGGGGTGGGGAGGGGAGAGTTGACTTCCTTAAATCATCAATTTTGATTGATTTTTGTAAGCAAGTGATCCATTTTATCAATTTTCATCAAACAAATTTCCATAACTTAATGTATAGATTTAGCTGGGGCTAAAAGTGAAGCTCTGGTTAATATACTTATGAACAAAAAAACTAAAACGGTGTAACATTAAACAGGAACTTTATGAGAATGTCATCAATATCGATAAATATTTTTGGTTTTTCTACCAAATTATGAAATTCGCCTCCTTTGTTTCCATGCAATCACTTGCTCTAGCTCTTTCTCTGTTATCCATATGAGTGTAAACATCAAAAATAACGTCGGAAAAGACTCGACTTTGTTGTTGTTTTTTTTCTCTCTAAAAGTCCAGGCAGCCATGTGATTTCCTGCCAAATAAAACCTTGAGTTACATTTGGGTTGCCATCACCTGTTGATTGAGTTATTTTACATTGGTGTGCCTGTGGTGTGGATGAATGGGTCGGTGGGCAAAAGTACGGTCACTTGACTGCCAAAATTTCTCAGATGCATAGGTCACCAAATTTTCTTACCCTTGGTGCTCTGCCGTGTATGCTTCATGCCCATGAGAGCTCTGCTAAACAAATGGTTGAGGATTGGTTGATTTGCGTAAATAAAGTGTCCATTGTTTAGTTATGTTCACATGGCACCAGAGGAATTTTCAAACTTGCTGATAAATATCACCAGACACTTCATTCACATTATGCTCTCTCTTGACACAGAAGTTGAATGGAAGGTATTGAAATTTTTGCACTGTTAGGGGTTTCTGTGTGAATGGAACAAATCTGCACAAATTTTCAACACCCAGACAAAAATTTATCCAGTGCTGTGTGAACATGTATATAATCTCACTATAGCTCAACTGCGGAAAGATTTTCACAAAAATTTTACACAAGTTAAGAGAAAGAGCGGATCTGCATGGATCCCCTTTAACACTCCCAGGGGTTTCAATGAGCACTGACGGCCGACGAAACGCGTTGGCTACTTTGCTCGTAGAGGTCAGCTGTCATAAAATCTAAATGAAAACGTAATTATGATGTGTTTTCCTAAAGGCCCACTCGTTTCACATTATGCCTTAGTCATATGAAGGCTATATTTCGGTCATTTTTTCGCAAGTTTCTTTATAGGTTTACGCAAAATTTGTTTATGTGCAAAAGTACGTAATTTAGTTTTCACCAATTTGTTCATTGCTTGTAGGAATTGATTGTGTGACTGATATTGATAAATTGAAAGCTACATTTTCTTGAATGAAAACCAGGCTCTTTTGTCCTCAATTGCATTCCCCAGAATGCTGAAAATCACATTTTAGGGCTTTTTTTTTTTAGATTTCAAAATTTTCAGGGTTAGAACGTGCCCAGACTGCCCCCTTCCCCCCAACCCCCCACACTGCTGGCTACTTAAATATTTATTGAAACCTGTGCACTCCCTTGGGTATGCCCCTTCAGGCTGCCCTCCCTGAATCTCTGTTTATGACTTTGCTCTGAATTGATTCCTCATAATTTTATGGTTTACAAGGAAATATCATGTTTTGTCGGGCCCGAAAATTATTATATAAGAGGAAAACGTGAGGTGGGTTTCTTTACTTAAATTGAAATGTGGATTTTTTTTAATCCAAAGAAGGATAATGCTTCAATTTCCCCAGTAGAATTGCAGAGACTCAAAATTAGCCAAAATGAAATATTTGCTGAGCTCTGTTTGTGGGTTTTGAAATCAAAACCACGACATTAATAATTTATATGAAGATTCATGACTACAACGTTGACTACGACATTGTTTGTGCACATAATGGCGAATTCAAAATTCAAAACTTTATCCTTGGTACCATGCTCCCAACTTCTCCTCATGCACTGGCAAATCATTATGCATGGTTCAGCTGTCGCATATAAAATTTTATTTGATCAAATAATATATTTGTTAATTGATCCAAATAGTAAATATGATCCACAGCCGAGGTGGAGTTCTTAATCCAAAACCGAATACTTTAGATACATGATTTGAGGTGCTTCTTTTATTACTATGGATCCAAAAAGGGTGAAAATTATTCAGCCAGCTGTAACTATTACTATATAGAAACAGTTTTGATTTATACATCACTACTTTGTCTTTATAATTATGACAGGTCAAAATTAAATTCAAGTTAAAATTATTTAACTTAGGTTGACTCCAATGTCATCTCCTAGCCCTAATTCATGCATAATTAGGGCTAGAAGACAAAGGGAATTGGGAATCAACCTAGGTTGAAAAAATGTAACCTGAATACGATTTTAGCCAGTTACATTACTATGCTGCTCATTTCAAACCTGAGGCAATTTGTGTTAAATGCATCTAAAACTCGATAATACTTCATAACTCAGTGGGTGTAAAACTGCATGATAGTACAAAACAAAGCCAAAAAATTGTTAGTTATGACATCATCCTATGCAAAATTTATGGCACGGAGAGGGGTGCTTGTTTGATATGGCTTAGGTAGTGGGGCCACCAGAGTGTGGGGCCACTTTGTTGAGAAAATTATAGTTATAATAATACTTTCTATTTGATTTAGGTTGCCATTGTTGACCTCAATGAAGAAAGAGGCAAGGAAGTAGAGAGAATATTCAGTGAATCTTATGGAACAGGGTGTGCAAGGTTCATTAGATGCGATGTTTCCATTGAGGATGAATTGAAAGGTTTTATATGATGTTCTTACAATTTAGTAATAAAATCAGTATAGCACATGTTTTAGGTGATCAGTTCAGACACTAACATGTGGAAATTCCATCAAGAAGGGGCCAACCTTTCACAAAGGTTAGTGTAATTTAGAAGTCTGGCTGCTATTGTTTTTGTACTCTAAAACAATAGCCTCTCTTGTGAATTACACTGTTAAAAGTTTCCTTGGTTTGACCCCCAATTATAATTATGTAATATAAGGTAACTTAAAGGTAATCAGTTGATGGTATTAAACACTGGGAAATTGACCCGGTGGTTAATATCCAGATCTTTAAGCAAGTTTTCAGGACCGTTGCAGTTTCTTGAAACATTTTAATATTTACTTATTGCTACTTTTCCTTTCCCTTAATGAAGGCTTAATGGGATGCTAGTGCATGCTAGCAGTACATTTCTTAACATGCATGTGCAGAGAGAACAGTTTAGATAAAAAAAGGTGAATAGAACTTCAACTTGACAGAATTAAATAATAACTAATAATAACAATAATAATAGTAATAAAAATAATAATAATAAGTTGATATAAATAATTATGACTTTGTCATGTAATAATTTCCTTGCATTCCACATCGTGCATGCTGAACTTTATTATTATTATTATTATTATTATTATTATTATTATTATTTTTATAGAGGCCTTCTCAAGAATTCTCTCTTTGTGGGGAAGACTCGACATTGTTTGCAACAATGCAGCTGTTCTTGATGAAGATGATTGGAATAAAACTCTAAATACAAACTTGGTAAGTTTAACTGTTCTTTTCATAGCTACATTTCCTTTGCAAAGCACAAACAGCATACCCATCAGCCGTGTCCCGTACTATCTCCCTTTTCAGTCAGTCAAATAACTGCATGGTCGTCAACTTATTAAAACTGAATCTGCCACAGCCTATTTTGAGACACTTTACTGAAGTAGTCAAGGCAAGAAAAATTAATAAACATTTCCACTGTAAGCCAGTGACAACCTGTAGGAAGAGGCTGGGTGCAGAATTGTCTATGAACTATTTGAATTCCATAAGGTTTCAGTATACCAGTCTTCACTTTTTTTAACACTTTTCTTTTTACTCGTGAATCCTAACTGAAATCCTACAAAACCGACTTCAAAAAGAGGGCATTAATAGATTGCTAGTCAGTGCTTGACTGCTTTCCTAATTCAGAAATCCAAGCACTATTCAGAAAAGAACAGTGCACGCTAGGCTTGGTAGGACTCTGTATCACGTAGTACGCAGAAAGGAAGGGAGAAACTCCTTGAAGATGTCAGCTTTTTAGGTTACAGCAGCTAGACTTACAAGGTCTGGCCCATTTTTTGCTGATCCTGTTGTTACCAAACTTATCAACCTATTGTTGCGCAGGCAACCCATTTTCCCTGAAGCTAAAAATTCATGTCTTGGTCATTTTTAGCCTGAATTTCATATGATTACTTCGAGTCGTTATTACTCCCTCAGTAACGTCTGAATCGACCGGCCGTTAATGCCGTGCAATGACGTCACTTCTCCTGTGCTTTAATTCTGTTCATACAAAAAGTAAAACACGATTTTCAAGTGGCAAACCAAGAAATATTGTTGTACATATCGTTATAGCGGAGCTCTCGCGCGAAGCGCGCCAGCGGAGCACCATGCGTGAGAAAATGAAGTAATCTACCCATTCGAGAAAATTTGGTAACCACGTGAACGTAAACCGAGCGTCCGAGCCACCGTCCGTCCGCACCACAGGCATACCAATGTAAAATAACTCAATCAACAGGTATAGCAACCCGAATGCAACTGGAGGTTATTTTGGCGGGAAATCCCATAGCCACCGGCGTCCTTGTAAAGCAGAGACAACTAAAGAGTCAATAAAGACGAAAACGGAAAGCGGAAATTGTTTCTGTATCCGTGTTGTCTAAAGTATTTAGCTTAGATTAATAGTCATGTCCGCAAATTTGGAATATAGAGCAGGAGAAAGACAGAGAAAAAGAGAGAGTAGGCGGCAAGCTCAGCGAGATAAAGGGCGACAGAGATCTAGAGCGAGAGATAGAAAATAAATGAGACAATTTTTTGTTGAAAGAACAACATGAAAATTTTGTTGCGGCGGTGACAAAATGAGAAATGCTAGCCGCCACCATTGCAAGGTGAAAATAAGCAGCAGTGAAAAAAAGGGAACGAGAACATGTATGATATTCCCTCCATAACACGTGTGACTAAGAAGTTTCTGGAAGTTTCATTTTGTAGTCGTGCAAAACTACGGCAAAGAAATGTACAAAAAAAGTGTGCTGCACGTGCAAAGTTGCTTTTTTTTGGCTAATTAGACCTATTGTTGTTTTTCACCGTTCTCCGGAATTGCCTTCGCCGCTTAGCATTGCACGATTTTACATTTTGTTTGAACAAACTATAAATATTATTGAGAGCTTCGCTTTTGGCCCTGGCTAAATCTATTTAGTATATACTAAAACAGTGGATAGTGTTTTTCGGGCGCTCTGATTGGCTACTTAATCAGTGGATATCCTGCACTATTCACTGATTCACCTCCAGTTCCTCCGAGCGAGCGACGCCAAACTCGCGTAGGTTGCGAGGAAAATGCTTTCCCGGTTTGCTGCCGTAACAAACTAAGAAATTTCACAACTAATCAAGCAAGCTATTTCCGAAATACATGAAGAAGGTGACGAAGTTCGGTTTGGAAGTTTTATCAGGTAAAGCTTTGTCTTTTTGACTTGAATACTTATCGATAAAACCGGTGAAAAAGTTTTTCGTTTACAAATGCAAATTAAGCTTAACTCTTGCGTTACTTTATTTAGTTGACTTGTTCATAAATAAGCTTAAAACTAAATTTAATAATCTTTTTTACAGAATTATTTTAAATACAAACAGAATTCACAACTCCTTTTGAAGAAACTTCCCCGCAAGAGCTAAACAAACGCCTTCAAAAGTTTTATTTGTCGCTAAGAAAAAGCGACGACCGCGGCCGTTCGGTCATCGCGCGCCAAAATTGTAATCGTTGGCAACAGCAAATGAGTTAAAAATCATCATTTTGTGCTCAATTATCTCACTGTTTTAGTATATACTAAAACAATTATTCACCTCAGTGTCGGTGGCTAGTAGTGGTGAATAATTGTTATATATTACATGATACAGAATTGCTTTACTCTTCTCGATCATAGAATTCATGTTCAACGTTCAAACTATTAACTACATGCAGTACTCTGAACCCGTTGTAATTCAATAATCATACTCGGTCGCAATCATGCAATGAAATAAATACACACACGGAACACTTAGTTAAAAAAGACAAGTATTTGCTTTAATTGAAAAGAGGCTATTTGGTCCTTAACGAAGAAAAAGGAAAACAAGGAAACAAGGAAGAAAAGCTAACAGAATCATTACACTGGACAGTGAAAATAGCAAAATGGTCGAATTATAACTGTTGCATTGATCTCATAAGACTTCGCAGAGGGCAGCAAAGGGGAGTTCATGATCCCGTTTCACGTACAAATTTTGACAAATTTCACGTATCACGTGAGTTATAAACCTATTTTCACGAGTCATGAATGTCACCTGCTAATCAAAGGGGTTAAAAACCAAAGACAGTCATCATGGACCCCAATTCGCATTTTATTTGACGATCAGAATGTCGGTGGGGCGATCTTAAAGGGCGTTAACGAGCAGTCGTGCATGCGTTCAAATTGAAAACACGTTAACGCCCCCGATGTGACTTTTTTTTTCTTTTAACAAGCTAACGACTGAAGCCTCTGTGGCAAGCGCAGGTTAGTTTTTTGGTTAGTTTTACTCCTTTTCTCCCTTCGAGCGCGCGTGTGCCCTAGAAATTTCTCCCTTCGCCCTAACAAAACTGGTGCCTTCTGTGCAAGCTACAGCGAGTGTGACCTCCGAGGCCTTTCGTTAGGGTAATTCACTCGTTTTAACACGAAAACGAAGCAACACGAGGATTGCCGAAGTGGACAATACTTAATCCCAAAGGTCACTGTTAGGGTCTGGTCTTTAGGTAGTATTTATCAACCATGACAAACGTAACGCAAATATTAAAACCAACGGCCCTGTTCAATTTATCTGTCCTATATCATTGATTTCTACGAAATGCGACAAATTATTCACGAGTCCCGCACATATTATAAGATTTATACTACTACATCAGAAATTTCTGCAATTTGATTGGCTTAGAGCAGTGGTATTTCAGCTTAATTTGAAATATCTACATGTGAAAATCACAAACCTTTTGTGGGTAGTAGTATAAACAAATAATAGCACGATTTGTACGTGATATTTGGCATAAATACCACTTGTGATATTTCAAAATTGTCTCAAATTACGTACAACAATTTCGAAATATCACTCGTGGTATTTATGACAAATATCACTACAAATCATGCTATTACCTATACAAATCACACTTCACATGCATAACTGGTTTCACGGATCACGTTCTTTTTTGGGAACTTTCTCGCACCACTCTCTCTGCCGACTCTCTTCGCATAAACAAAATCACCGCGGAAACCACAAAGCGGTTCTAAATGAAAAACCTACCGACTCTCCGCAACGATCTCATTCGCAGTTCAATTTAGCGATTCAGTTTCGAAGACAAGGGCAATTTTTCTGTTTACGATATTAAAAGGTTATCGAAATGTTTGAACTCCTCGCAAGAATGCCAGGGATGCGATCCGCTGGATATCAACGACAATCGCGCTAAAATGTATCATAATTATGCGAACGTTTAGACAATTAACCAATCAAAATCACTACCCGGTTTTCGGGTAGTGATGTCACTGGACGGCATTAACGGCCGGTCGCCTCAGACGTTGCTGAGAGGAGAAAACGACTCGAAGCAATCGGATGAAATTCAGGCTAGGTCATTTTAGGCGTTACCACATTTGTATACAAAACGATCTGGAGGGTTCTCTAGAAGCACCAGCGAACTCCAAAAATCACTATCTATATAGACATATAAAATTCTGCAGGCAGAATACTACAATGCTGATCGTACTACGTGGAAATTAACTCTGCAAGAAATCAACACGACACCGAAAGAACTCAAAACAGAGCGGGATTGTAGCCATAGACAGCTGTTTCGCCCTCGTTGGGGCTCGTCAGTATGGCGTAACAACCAGAAAGCTCTGGTGCAAAATATCCGCGCACTATGATTTAAGCTCTGACCCAGAACTCTCAACACCCACAGAATCACGCCATACCACGTGTTTTCTGGGGGGCAAGATTCCAAGTGCCAAGTTGATGTCTCGCAGAGAAAATAAATAGTTGGCCAAAACCAACCTTAAACACATGGACAAAACCATGCAAAAATTATGGCATATCGGATCTATAAAAGATCTACGGCCCCAGAATACACAAAGTACAAACATTAACCACAAAGGACTGCAAAGGACCGCAAACGAATATGCCGGAGAACGTAGGATCTATAAAGACCTGATCAGCAAAAATGAAAAGTAGACATATAAAATTCTGCAGGCAGAATACTGCAATGCTGATCGTACAGAATTTTATATGTCTACTTTTCATTTTTGCTGATCAGGTCTTTATAGATCCTACGTTCTCCGGCATATTCGTTTGCGGTCCTTTGCAGTCCTTTGTGGTTAATGTTTGTACTATCTATATAGTCATCACGGAAAGGGCCAACTACTCACAGAAAACATTATTTTAAAGGAGAATAAAAAATCGACTGTGTGTTGTATAATTCATTTGTTTCTCGACACTTTGTTTGATGAAAAGAGATGCTTAATACAAAATAAAGCAAAATTGATGTGGGTCCAAAAAGGCGGCATCCCCATGGCTAAACTTCTTTCCTTGGTCGCTTGAAGTTCACTAAAATAAAAGTTTTAGGGGCCCCCACATTAAAAATTACCCCGGGGGTATCCCTAGATTCCTCCAATGGAAAGGGGGTGACCCTTTCTTGCATATCTACCCCTACATGTGCATGAATGCCTTTCAATCTTATCAGATGGGACCCTGATCGTATCTATCGCTTGACTCCTGGTGCGGGCTTACAAGTTGCCTACCGAACATCAGTTTAACTGTCACCAACACTCTTGTGCTGTTCATGCTGTTTACGGTAATTAACTGGGACCAGTTGCAAAAAGCCTGAAGTATACCTGCCAACTTTTCCCAAGTAAAATGCGACTGATTTTCATATCCATGTTTAACCGACTTTCTGAAAAAGCCTGACAGCTTTGGAACAGTTCCGAAGACATTCTGACGTCTTCGGAACATTACCGAAGATGTTCCGATGATTTTCGAAGGTCACCGAATGCAGTGCTGAGAAGCGTCAAATCTTGGCGCCATCTCGCCCAGGATCACGCATTATGATTATCTTAATCTCTTAATATCGAGATAAGGTATCGTGAGACGTTAATTAGGACTCAAACGTGACATGTAGGGCCGTCACTAGGCAATGTTGGGTGGTGATTGAATTCATTTTTTCACGTTTAAGGTCACTGAACAAGTAGTCCACAAATATGAGTCTGCTTAAGTTTGGAGTTTAAATAAGGGGTTTGACTGAGCTGAATGTTACGTTTTCTGCAACTCGCCTCAGCAAGGTTGTTACTCCAGGTTGGAGTCGTATTTAACTGATGTTTGTCTCTTTTTGTTGGAAAAAAATATTTAGGGTGGTGCCATTCATGGGACTCTCCTTGGTCTGGAACACATGAAGAGTGGATGTGTCATAATAAACACATCATCAACTGCAGGTACAGATCAGTGTAGAACCAAAAGAAAGGTTTCATATATACTGTTACAGTGGAACCTGTATAAGCTCGGTATTAAGTTACCCCCCGCTTAAATTAAGGGGGCAGTTTTCACGTTTTCAAGTTGGTCTTTCTTTGTTGAGATTTTTCCTGTGTTCGTCTTTGTTAGTTTACCGCGCGTTGGCCGGAGAACTACAAATTCAAGTCTTAGAAATACAGTGAATGTACTCTACTTTTTTAATTTAGTGAACTAGACTACAATAATTTATGCTACCTGTACTATTTCATAATGTCACGTTTATTCCACCGTTACAGTTTCAAGCCAGCAACTTTGTTGAAAATTTAGTTATATCAACATTCACTTCACTGATAAGCGATTGGTGAGCATGCTTGTCGAGCCCTCGGCCTGATGATATTGTCAAGTCGTAATATGTGCAAGTTTACAGCTTTAAGTGCCGTTTCTCTTTTCGCATTCAAGTCAGGTTTTAAAAACGTTTGTAAGAAATGCAATAAGAACCACCAGCTTACCAAACAATTCGAATTCTAAGGCGTGGGGCTTGTAATTGAGTTAACAAGTCGGTCGAGAAACGATCCCCTGGATCATTTTTTAGTCAATGGATACTGGCCACAAATAATTACAATAAAGAAAAACACTAACGAATAGCGAAATTATCAGTACATTTAACTATTATGTCATATCTTGATCTTTAGTTCATGACTTTGTTGCTTTGATAGGCCTTTCGGCGTGGAAACTTGCTCCTGTGTACTGTGCCACAAAGCACGGGATTGTAGCCTTTACTAGAAGTATTGCAAATGTGAGTATTTCTCTGAAATATGGTAACAGAACATTCTTTTTCTTTTAGAGAACTGTCAATGTGTTGAGAAAAAGGCAGTTCCCATCTGATTTGCTTTCGAATAGCTCCCGCTTGGTGATTGGTTAAACTAAAAGGTGCATCTTTATGAACCAATCAAACGAAACCAAGGTCAACAGCAGATTGTTCACTAGAGTGTTTCCGCGCTTAGCCCCTTCCACACTCCATCTGATACATTTAAGAGCACTACTTTATTCTTACGTTCAGCCCTACCGCGTAAATTGTCTCCCGAGAACGGACTCTTTTCAAAGTGGATGAATATGACTTCAATTTGAAATACCTGCATTGCGTTTTAGTCTGAATGGAAAACGTTTTGCAGAACGTAACTTTTTGAAAACGCTGACGTCTCCAGCAACGTTGCGTTTCCAGATTTATAGACATTTCCTTGCACGTCTTAGGCAAAAGTGTGGACGAAAAACATTTTATGCGTCTGTGTGTACGGGGCATAAGCTAAAACAAACAAAAAACGCTCACTCCGTGCTGAAATGTGACAAGAACTGTACCTCTTAAATCCCGTTTACATTACGTTTAAATTAGATCAATTTAGGTTTCCGGGAAACTGCCCACCCAACCCTCCCCTAAGCCATCATTTTGCCCTAAGCGAGAAGTTGAGTGTTAATGTTAGCTTAGGGGAGGGGTAGGTGGGCAGTTTCCCAGATACCTAAATTGATCCGACAAATTTTTGAAGGGACGAATTTTTCCCCTGTACAACACGTTCCGCACGGAACCGTGCAAATTCTGTCACAGATTGCTGTACTGTACTGTTTGCCGTTCAAATACTTACACAGATCCGCGGGTCCCGTGTAAGCGAATGGCGGGTTTTTTCCTTTCAAAAATTTTGATTTCTTTTGCTTTGCACGTAACAGTGTTTTGTCATTCTGGCACTGGCCAGTACTTTGAAAATTAATATTGCAAATGGTATGGAGTCGAGTGGAGACTGTATCTAAAGAAGGTAACACTTGAAAATTATAATGGGCACTGATAAACTTGTGGTCCTCAAATAAATACCGGAAATCCTCTATTTAGCTCCCCCCTTTCAAATAAGCCCTCTCCCCTCCTCAGGAGAAGCAGCTTATTACGCCCCCTCTCTTTAAGCCCCCTTTCCCCTCCCCCCGATATTATTAAATGATAGACTGTATTAATTAATCACGAATGTAACACTTCATGTTGGACAGATCGCGTATGGTTCTGATTCAAGTGCTGGAAGTTTTTGATCTTCGAATTAACTACAATTTTATGTGCCTGAACTTTTCCACTTTTTGTTCTCGTTCGTTTTGACAATTGATACCATCATCTTTGCCACATTTAATAGACTCCCTTCTCTCAAATGAGACCCCCGTCTCTACTATCCCCCCAGGCCCTCAAACCTGACCCCGAGGGCCTAGAGCTTTTACTGCCGCGGTATTTTCAACTCCGTTCTCGATTTATGAGCAAATATCCTGTCTTATGTTTCGGTATACGATTTAACCCAATTTACGAACACCCGCTTTATACGGAAACCTCATTATTACGGACAGTTTGCTTTGTCCCTGGGGAAAAAGCCTGTATATTTTGTTTATTAACCTAAGAAAGTTCAATTAACCCGCTTAAGGGGACACCCCGTTAATACGGACACTTTGTATGGCCCACTCAGTGTCTATATTAACGGGGTTTGACTGTAATGGATGGAAACACTTTTTCACAAGCTTGTAAGGATAGAGAGCTTAGAGCTCTGACTTCGATAGTCCGGACATCAACCGGAAGTTGTTTTCGTAATATTACCACGTACGTTTTGTGACGTCAGCACTTTATGCAAGGAACATTAAAAAAAACATGCTGGAGTTCTCTTGGAAGAGGTGAAAGTTTACCCTGGAACTTCTGGTTGCTGTTCGTACCTCTGGTAAGTCAAAGTTCTTGGTGTTAAGAACATTGCGCCCAGTGATTGTTATTAGTGCATAGTCAGATTTTTTCTTGTTATAATACAAGCAGGCCCTTTGTAGTCAGTGTGCTGAGTGGTCTGGGCAAGTGAGGATGGACAAGTTCGACCACGAGATCGGAAAAAGCAAACTAACAAGCAAACAAATGACCTTCAGCTTGTAATAGCCCTTTTCACTCTCATGATCAGCACCTATGTTGGTTTGAAGAAACAAAAAAATAAAGTGGTGCATAAAGAAAGAATTTAATTCTTTCATGTTTGGTACGGTACACCAATCTGGCCACCACTTCACTGCACGTAAAAATTACACGACAATGGAAATCTGCCTTAACTGACTGACTTGCTGACTGAGTAATGGACGATCTCACGATCTTAATCTTTTTACCCGTAGCCCTTCTCTCTCCGGGTGACCACCCGCCGACCAACAAGCTTAAGACATTAGACTACGCCGGAGATGGCCACCATCTTGATCAATAGAGCGTTTTCACTCACGTGACCAGCATCTATGCAAATTTATTGAAAGAAAAGGAAGCGTTTACATAAGAAAAGAGTTCAGCTCCATCAGGATTTGTTTGGTACACCAACATGGCCGCCATTTTATTGTTTTGGAACACCAATATGGCCGCCGTGACGTCATGTGAAAACGCTCTTTTGGTTCTACCATTATACATGTACAATCGTACTTTCTTTTTTTTTTTTCTTGCAGAAGTTAACCATTTTGCACCAAATGCTCATGCTGCGGTCGGTTATCATAGCTGATCACAAGAGAGAATAGAATGAAGAGAAGAAGGAAGAATGAAAGAGTAGAATGGATAGAATAGCATAGAGAGAATGCTGATCACCATCACAGCTCTAACTAGTAACTGCTGTAGAGAAAACTACGAAGTGAGGAGTCCATGTATTTGACCTTCATCCCGGACGTTAGGAATTGTAACAAGCTCTTGTGTGCTCTAATGTTAAGTGAACAGTAAAGACGGGAAAGGCAGAAATACCTTAGATTCAATCCTAGGATATTGCAAAAGTTGCACGTTGTACTGGAATTTATCTTCCTTAACGTAACAAGCAAAAAGGAAACATGTTAATACACGTCGAATTATTAAGGCTAGATAGTGATTTTAGTATTGGATAAGACATGACGGAGCAGGAGAGTTATTTAAGAGGCAGTCTCCCTAAAAGCGTTCCACTCGATTTTGGACTCGAAAAAACTTTTGCCTCATAATTTTACCATCAACACTACTATCCATCCTAATAACGAAATTGCAGTTAGAATGAGGAAATCGTCTATTTTACTGCTATTCCCAGCATTTCATTGCTGGACGACCGTTAGCGGCTAAAACATGCAAATTTTAGATGCTGTTTTTCAGGTTTTTTAACGATCGTTTAAAGGTACTTCGGTTCATCAAATCCTAGACTATTTGCACTCATTTGGAAGCATATCACTTCTCCTTACTGTTCCAATACCATTTAGGCATTATCTTTCTGTAATCAGCAAAAACTGGTCGTCTTTATTTCACTAACCCAATTAAGAAAGCAAGATGCACGAATAAATGCCTCAAAAACATCTCAAAATTCTCAAAAGTGGCACCTAAACTAGACCTAAAAACATGTTTTAGTTAAAGATTAATAGCTATTTTGTCAAGTTATGAAATAAAACTTGTGGCACAACGCGATTCAGAATTGAAGGTTTCAACTCCAATTTAGGCAAATGTTCAATTTGCGTTGCGTGACGATACCGGCTGCTGTCACAACAAAATCCTCAGTTATTCAAATACTTGCCACTTTTAAGTAAGATATGCCTCATTTTCCCACCAAACCTATATTAAAATTTCCTTTTTCCCTTTGCCAATGATATATATTGTTTAAAAATTAGTTCAGCAAGTAAAAGATACCTTTCCAAGATTCATTTAATATTCCCACTGCCCCGACCATTCGTGTTAAGTCTGTTACGTCAAGACAGAAAAATACCTTTTCAGCACCAAACCTCTTCTAGCTTAAAATGTGGTCCAGTCTGAAAAAGCTGCATTGACCAGAAGTTACTCCGATCCATCATATTATAAAATCGAACGTTAGAAGAAAAGCAAATTTCCCACTGCTTAATTAAATATGCGTGAACAGGTCCAAAAATGTTTGACTTGTACTTCGCCCCACGTAAGGGTATCCGGATTCCGGAATCTGGAAAATTTTTGCTTGTAGGATCCGGAATCCGCGAAAATTTTGATACGGAATCCGGAATCCAGGGCTTTGGAATCCAGAATAGAGCTCAAGCACCCTACTAAGGAATAAAATCTAGAATCCAATTTCCACTGGAAAAGACTGGAATCCAGCACCCGGAATCCTGAATCCATGGAATGGGATCCAGAATCCAAGACTGTCTTGTATTCGCTAACATGGGGCGATAGTACTGGACTGTGAACGGCGAATTACTATTTTCCCTTTATTTACCTTCCACTGATCAGGAGCCCACATTTGAAGACTTTGTTAATGAAATTTCAGTTAGAAGGTTTCTTCCATTTACTGACTGTTTCTTCCTATCAACAGTGGTCAGCTTTTGTTTTCACTCTCAAAGAGACAGTCTCTAGTCTAAGGCTACTTTTTTATCGCAGCCAGTTAATAAAGGAGTTGGCACACCCAAATCATAAAGTTTTGACATTAATTTCGAATCGTGCAACATCAGTGAAAGTAACAAGAAAATAAAGTGTGGAAGTTCACGCGGTTTTTCCCAATTGATAAAAGTACACGATTGTCAGAACACCATTACTTCTTACCATGAAACCTGTCATCCATCGAAGTCTGAACTAAGTGAAGCAGAGCCAATACTCTCAAAAGATGGTAATCATTGACCTTACGAAAAATCAAGTGGAAAAGATGGTGATCTGCTTCCCCGGGAGGACTCCCATACAAAAGTGACGTGGGTGCTCGTCGTTTGCAGATTTTGGTCTCACTTCGGTTATTTGGGACGGAAAGTACCTAAATATGCTCATTCAGGTATCGCTTAAGGCTGTGCATAAAGAAATTTGCAAACAAAAAAAAAAGCCGT